AAACCATGTGACTATTAAGTCCCCCTCTTCAATCTAATGGTCCCATAATTACCAAATAGTTGGCTGGAAATTATCTGGCACATGAATGCAGGCTCAGAAAAATGTGTAATATTAATGTAGTCTATTTGTACATTGAGGTCAAAAAAAAAAAAAATCAGTATTCACAGATTGATAACTTGTCCCAGAAATAGCAGAAGATTACAAATATTATTATTTGTTAGCTGTATTAATTGCCTGCAATATTTGATCCCTTTTTCTTTTTGACAAGAACAAGAGTGAGAGAATTCAGGTGCTAGATAGCTTATCGCATGCTAATCTAACATGTCTGTTTTTTTTTTCTTTCACACTAGACATTTTCTTGGATCGAATATATGTACAGTATAGATGCAAATTAGAGAGGCATTTTCTTTAATAATCTCAAACTTTTGTTTCTTCACATATTGTCCCAAGTGATGGGATGGCTAGCCCTCTAATCTCTGCTGAAATGGAAGACATTAGATCGATCTTGAAGGACATAAACCTACCTAACCATTTTGGTTGATTAGATAGCTCCCTCAATTAGCATTAGTTAAAAAACATATGTGGTTAGTGCAACAGAAAGGAAAATAACTCTCAAACAATATAATATGTTTCTTAATCGCCTAGGATACTGACATTATCCTTCTTTTGCTGGTCAAGCTTCATTTTACGATTGCTCCACTTTTGCAATCTAATTTGGAAAACAAATAACTTTTGGAAAATGCCTTATCTCATAGAGAATTAGTTAGCCTAAAAACGATTTTTATCCTACTCGAGCAAAATATCTTGTTTGGATTGCATTTTTCTAGATTTTTTTGTAGAAAAATTACTGCAGCGATTTGATATATGTAAGGTAAAAAGGTGATTGACAAATGTGTTCACAGAAAACACAATAGCAATTTTTAGGCCCTTAAGCCCATTATGAATTTATACTATATTCTAGCCAGGAAAAGAAATAAAAAGTTTAGCAAAGAAACTAATGGTTTGTGCTACTCAAGAAGTACACAATCGAAAAAAATACTTTGATTAATAGATTTCCTTGCACCTTCTTCTAACCTTTTCAATAACTTTTTTACTAAATTCTGGTTCCAGACTGAGCTGGAAATAAAAAAGAAACATTATGCAACTGAATTTAGATGGTATGCATCCTATAAGAACGTTCATGAGTGAATGAAAATTTTCTTGTCTCACTCATGAGTCGCACGTACACTCAGCAGATTAGTCATTCCTTCTTCAGATCATCAAAAGAAAATTATTTGTTTTAAACTTAAATTCCTTAATTGTTCTCCGAATTATTTAAGACTGAAGTCAGTCTGGAGAAAAGTCCAATTTCTATACCCCACCACCTTTCCACCGATTGATTAGTCATTTCAAAATTCCTTATCAAAATTCATTTGTGTGATTTATGTCCCTCCCAACTTTGGTTTTGGTTGGACTTCGAGAGACAACATCAAGAATCCGGTGCTAATAATATATATTGTCTTAAGATATAAACCAGATCCAAATTTAAAAAAAAAGTTTTTTAATATGATTCCAAAGTTTAATTCTCTAATAATTTGCCCCTATTACTATATTAGATTATGATCATATGTCACCATCCACAAAATAAATGTTCCTCCTGGTTATAGTTATCTTTCAGTTTTTTCTACTGCTACACACACATTATCAGCAAAAGAAGATCAATTAGAAAAAAAAAAAAAAAAAACCATTATACAATTACATTGATTGCATGAGCTGCATTTACACCAATCCAAAAACCATTTGAAAGCAAGAAGTGTTAGAAAAAAAAAAAAAAAGAAGAAGAAAACTTCATCATATGATGATGACATTTTTTTTTCCCATTCAAGCTTCTAAAAATGAATAATGTATATACATGGCTATTAGTTGCAGTCATTATTAAATCTTTTACATCACAGAGATGCTTGCTTGCTTGCTTGCTAGAGACAAATCTGAAGTTCAGCTACTTTTAATAAACAGCAATTGCAAGAGCTTCAAATTACAATCAACCTCCACCATATAACTCAATAATTGCTGACAACTGTGATCTTCCATAGGGGCAAGAAGTCAATGACCATTTACTAAGTCCTACTACTGGTGCCATTACTTCTTCTTTCATGCATAGTTTAAAGAAAAGAGGTTCAAGATTTTCAAGGGCTGATGACGTTAAGATCAAGAAAATTTTTCGTGATGGATCAGTTGCACATTTTCTAACCCCCTGTAAACTTCATCAGCTGAATTTTGTTGACTACTTTAGAGATGAATGATAGGACTCCAAAAGCCAAATCCTTTTTTGTCCTTAAATCTTTCCTAAGAGCAAATAAAAAGCCCCATCCTTGGTAATGCAAGTCTCGGCGCTGATTATTGCAAGATAAACAAGAGTTTAGCAACCAAAATCCCTTTAATTTCTATCCGTAAGAAGCTGCCAAAGTTGGTAATGTCAGAACTCAGAACTTGTCATTGGTGGGGCGGCCAACATATTGTGCAGCCATAGTTGTTTGTTTTAGAGAGATAATGCAACATAAAAGCTCTTTAATTGTGGCTTTAGAGAGCCCCGCCAAGACATATAAGTCTTGGCCTCCCACCTTATCACTTAATTGTGACTTTCTCCAATAGAAAAATTTCGTCAGCTCCTTCTTCCTTCAGACTAAGTTAGAATAAGTTATACAAATATTATCGTTGCGATAAAAAAAAAACATAAAAGCTCTTTAACACGATAATATTAAAGCAAATTAATTCTATGGGAAATCCGTAAACATTTCTTTGCTTACTGGTCTTGATGTAGAGGAAATTTCAGTAGATGCTGAGGAGATGATGCCAATAGTCACGCACGCTTCTTGAAATTGAAGGGTTTCATAAGGCAGCAATCTTTTCAAACGTTTTACTAAAGAAATGAAAAGTTTCTTTTCAACCATACAAAATACTACTACTACTAGATACATGATACACCTCCTTAATGCCAAAGAGTAGTGTATATATATATATGTATTCTACTAGTAGACAGGATAGAGATAGATTTGTCAGTCATACAAATATAAAGAACTATACTTACCCATGTGCTATTCTTCATCTACTTTATTTCGTGAAAGTTCAATAATTTTTTTCTCATGGTAAATAAAGGATATAAAGCATAACCCCTTTCTCCCACTTAGTAGTGCGCCGAGAGGCCTTTCCCTTTCTGGCATCATTACGCTGTTGATTTTTTCTAATGGTGAATCATAGTACAACACATGTACCGTAAAAAATAATAATAACAATAAAGTAGAAGGCAAAATCAAGAAAGTTATGGAAAAAAAAAAGAAAGTTATGGAATGTTTTTTTTCTTAGATTAATCTTTCGTACACTGACGGTGTATATACGATCAGCAGCGTTAGATGAATGATAACTATGTAAAATTTGATTTTGAAATTCAACTTTTGCACACATGTTATAAATCAAATAGTAAGAATATATACTCTGTCAGTATATATAAGATTTACTCTTTTTTTTTCCATCTAACCATAACCTGAGCCACAACTTCATGTATGTTCTGTTACACATGCTTAAATGTTACTCCCTCCGTTCCACTTTGATAGTCCTGATTCTTTTTTCACACAGTTTAAGAAAAAATAGTTAACTTTGTTGGAAAAATCAATTTAGGTAACTATTTTTCTAAAATATCCTCACATTAATTAGAGTACAACTTTATGGGAATTTGAATTGATAGTAAAAAAAGAATAAACTCTCATTAAATGTGGTAGGTTTATAGTAACAATAACTTACATTGAATAAGGGTATTTCAAGAAAATTAAAATATAACTACATTCTTCAATTGAAAAGTGGACTACAATTTGGAACAGACGAAAAAGGAAAACAGGACTATCAAAGTGCGTCGGAGGAGTACTACATTTCATAACTTAGCGAGGCTCCTTTTAAACTAGGAAAAGAATTCCACAATAAGAAACTGTCCTTTTTCCCCCTCTGAGCAGCACGGCATTAAAACCAAGATTTTCAGGAAGTAAGTAGAAGGGTAGCTGGTCTCCATATTCCGCTACATTTTGCAAAATGGACAATATGAGCTCCTACCCACCATCAAATTTAAATTTTGGGAATGTGGACTAGCTATTAAGTCAAATAGACATGATAACTATGACTTGAAAATTTTACCTTATATGACTACCAAGATTTTGATATCCTCAAGCAAATCATATCAAGAAAATTCACCATGACTAAATCCATAGAATAGAATACCTAGAGACAGACAAGTGAAGTAGGTTCTCTTAATAGTTTTTAAAAAAAAAAAATTCAGTAAAAGATTAGGAATCCAAGAAAGAACATTGTTGAAATCCCAAGCAAGGGTAAATCAGCCAATTTCCTTTCTACTCTTAGGCTTAGTTTGGGAGTTTAGGATAGAAAAGAAAAGAAGGGAAAGCTTAAGTTATGAAAGAAGAGAAGAGAAGGGAAGAGATTGTTATGTTGTTTGGGAGTTTTGAGAATTAGTGGAATGATTTTGGACATAGAAGTCATTAAATATTTGTTCAAAACCTTTTTAAGGACAAAATAGGCATTTAAAAAAAAATATCAAGCTTTCTCCAAACTTTCTTCCCATTTCTTTCCGATTTGGGAGGAAGCTTTTTTTTAACTATTCATCTTTCCATTTCTTTTCTTTTCTTTCCAACTTGAAACTAACAAATGAAGCAAAAGTAAACTTTCTCTTCTTTTCCTTTCTTTTCTATCCAAATCTTTCACTCCCAAACGAACCCTTAGTCAGAAGTAAGTGGCACATTGCATTACCCTATAAAGTAACGACAAAGTAACAACAAAAGTTTTAAAAAATTATATAGTCGTTTTCAGAATCCCAATTAATGACATCATAACTACAATCTTCCGTTACGCTTTTTTACCATTAAAATATTCAAATTTCTCATCTCTTTCAGATTTTGATACGTTTGTATATCTGTATATACACATGTTAGACGCATAAATGCTGCAGAGTAGCAGGCGTGTATTTTTCTATGGCATTTAGTAGTATCTTAATGTAGTGAAAAGTTTGAGGGTACATGTAAAAGTATTTCACGCTTTTACAGTTTGTCACACTGACACAGTACCAACAACCAAACCAGGGAATAAAATGAAGATGGCCCTTTAGGGAAGAGAGAGAAGAGTTGGAGAATGTATGATTGCTAGAAAGAAAATGGGGTAAGAAGAAGCACAAGCAGCTCGTGGGTTCTTCATATTCACAGCTGCTGATCAAGATTCTGTTACTAGATTTCACTTTTTTTGCTGTTTCTGGTAAGATTCTGACGTTGGTTTTCAGCATAAAGATTCAATCTTTTTTAATAGATTTTATGGGGCCATTTAGCTCAAGTTTCGTGCTTTATGTTGTCATCCAATACAGGAAAATTTTGTGCAAATTTCTTGTAATGTTCTTGTATTGCTCTGTGATTACGTTTTGATGTTGTAGAGTTCTGTAACAAGGTTTAATTTTGATTAGTCAGTTTTGTCAATGGAGAGGTTAAGAACGTTTAATCAACAATTGGCGCCATGGTCCGTCTGCATGTGTGCTCATTTTGTTGTCTTGAATTGTGTTAATCTTGCAATGTGGCGCTATTACCTAAGCTGATCTAATTGTGGATGTTTCTGATCTTTGGTTGGATTTCCTTCTGTCAGTTTTTGTAACTAAGAATGCATGTTTGAGGATGCTTTTAGCTTAACTTGGGTACCAGAGAGTTAATCTGACATCTCTTCTTCTTCATGTAATTGGACCGATGAGGGCTGTTAAGTTTTGGCACTCTATACTTATAAGGGCATTTTGTACCATCTGTGTTGATATTTGTGATTTCAAGAATCATTCCATAATTGGAGTCTAAATATCTACTGACATGTTTTCTTCAAATTGATAGCCTTAGTTTTGACATATTTTGACCTTGCTCTTATTCACTGATCTAAAATGTAAATGAGATCTGATTTCATTTGTATCTCTTCATTTCAATGGTCCAGAACTTCTTCGTTTTTATCAGTGTGGTTACCAAAGTGAAGGATCATTGCTTCTAATCTCTCATCGTGTTTTTACATTGCAGGTATGGATTCTCTTTTTTTTCCCTGTTGTATGACTCATGTATAGTGTAAGGCTTAGTCAAAATATACATCTTCTTACTTCTCAATTCATGTTTCCTTGATGATTGTGATGATTAGGTGTGAGCAAAAATAAACCTATCCAAGCACCTTGGGATTAGGCTGTCTAGTCTCAACAGTTGAACCTGATACTGGCCTGGAACCATTTTGCTTACTGGTACAAGGACCTGTCTTTTGCAAGGTCAAAGCCTATTGCATTGTTGCTTGTTGCTGGAATCATGGCAACTTTGCTCTCTTCTGAGTCCAGGCGCTTATATTCTTGGTGGTGGGACAGCCACATCAGCCCAAAGAACTCAAAATGGCTTCAAGAAAATCTTACAGGTGAATTGTTCTCTGAGCAAGATTTAATGTAATTTGGCTAATGCCCGTTGTCAGTAAGCTATGTTACTTGTGCTTGCAGATGAGAGAAACATTTTGATTGATTTTAATTTTTCAAAGTTCTGAGACAATTGTATATATTGTTAACAATCTGTCATATTCTTTTACATTCAAAGTTAGTGTCTAACTTATCGTGAACAACCATGCCGTATAAAATGCGCAAGTTGTGTCATCCTGCTTAGTATTTTTTTGTCTTTTCGGACATATTCCCAAGAGATGGATTGTGGATACATTCCTTGACCTTAGTTTTCTGACATTGATACTCAATGTATTCTACAAGAGTTGCATAACATGTTTTCAAGGTGATAACTTCGGCTGTTGTTAGTATTATTTGCATTTCTTTACTCCATGTGCCAATGTTTGATCTCCCATTTGTGGCACTGCGGGAAAAAAATGAAAACTTTGCATCGTTCACTACCGAAAGCATTGCTTGAATCTGATTGCTTTTGCTGTTGCTTCTCAAATTAACAGCCTGCAGGATAACATTATTAGAACTTTATCAGCAATTGCAGGTTGCTACTAAATACACACACACATGCTGTAGTATCCATCTAGGCTTGAATAGGCTACACCTGCTTGCACCTCTGAATGAGTGTGTGCTTGTTTAGTGGACGACTTATGTCTAATAAAGTTATAAATCAATGTGGGATTTGTTCATGGTTGTTTAAGACATATAGCTTAGAAATCCTACATCCAGGTCTTGTACTTATCCTGGAGTGCAGAACTTGTACTTTCCTTTGGGAGAAAGAAGACAACTGTTTAAATCAGACTGAAACTTGTTGGACAGGAGTGAAAAATGGTCCTAGAGGACCTAGGTTTCTCACACCTGGGGGCATACTAGGGTGATAATAGCATTCAAATTAGCTGTCCTCGATAGTGACGTGATCATGATAAAATGGTTAAACATTTAAGTGCACTTTTCTACCCAAGAAAGGAAACTCTGAGTATTGAGCCTTCATAGCCAATGAAGACTATTGAATGAAGCCTGTTAGAGAAGACCTGTTACAAACAATGACCCTAACAATGATGCCTGTTACAAACAATGACCCTAAGGCACGATAAACTAGTTTTGCTTTAATATGTAATTGCAAGCTTTCTTTTCTTTTCTTTTCTTTTTTTTCTTTCTTTAAAAAGAAGGAAAAAGAATGAAGGCACTGTTACATAGCTATTTCTTGTCACAAATCATAGGTCTTTTTCCACTGTAGTTTTTTATGTCAATTTTTCACTTTCTGATTCTACATCTGTACTAACAAGGATAAACTCTCCTGTGAACAGACATGGATGCTAAAGTAAAAGCAATGATCAAGCTCATCGAAGAAGATGCAGATTCATTTGCAAGAAGGGCTGAAATGTACTACAAGAAAAGGCCTGAGCTGATGAAATTGGTTGAGGAGTTCTACAGAGCATACCGTGCTTTAGCAGAAAGATATGATCACTTGACTGGGGAGCTGCGGCATGCTCATCGAACCATGGCGGAAGCCTTTCCAAATCAATTGCCTTTTGTACTGGATGAAGAATCACCTTCAAGATCTTTGGAACATGAGAGGGAGCCTCATACACCAGATATCCTACATCCCCTTCGTGCATTGACTGGCAAGATGAGTGAACCAAATTCTGGGGTGTCTAGTGCTGGTACTAGCAAAAGGGGATTGAAACAGCTATATGATGGGGCTGAGGAAACAGCCAAAGGAAGGTTGAGCAACACTCTGAACCATGAAGCAGAAAGTCAAAGTTTCCATGCTGAAGTATTGCAATTATCAAGTGAGAACGAGAATCTCAAAGCCAAGGCTCATTCTGAGTCTGAACGTGCACTTAAGGCAGAAAGCGAAGTTGAAAGTTTGCAGTGGGCCCTTGCTGATATGAGAACTGAAAAGGATTCTGTCTTTGTTCAGTATCAACTCAGTCAGGAGAGGTTAACTAATCTTGAAGCAGCGCTCCTTCATGCACAGAAAGACTCCCAAAGGTTCAGTGACCAGGCAATCCAGGCAGAAACTGAAGTTCGGACATTGAAGGAAGCCCTTTGCAGGGTAGAAATTGATAAGGAAGCTGCGCTAATGAAGCACAAGAAGTCTATCGAAATGATTTCTAATCTGGAAGGAATGGTATCTCATGCTCAAGAGGATCTAGAACGACTCAACAAGAGAGCCACCAAAGCAGAAAATGAAGCTCAACATCTGAATTGTGAAATTTCAAGATTGGAATCTGAAAAGGAAGCTGGCTTTCGGAAATACAATGACTGTTTGGAAAAGATTTCTCATTTGGAAAACAAAATCTCATTGGCAGAGGAGGATGCCAGGCTGTTAAAAGACCAGGCTGAACAAGCTGATATTGAAGTCAAAAGACTGAAAAAAGCTCTTGCTGAACTGAATGAAGAGAAGGAATCTTCAGCTCTAAAGTACCAACAGTACCTAAAGAGAATATCTGAACTTGAAAATGAATTATCTTCTGCCCAAGAGGATATTAAGCGTCTTAACACTGAGATGCTGACAGGCACTATGAAACTCAAGCATTCCGAGGAGAAGTGCAATCTGTTAGAGCTGTCAAATCACTCGTTACGTCTAGAGGCAGAAAACTTGATAAAGAAGATTGCAAGGAAAGATCAAGAGCTTTCCGAGAAGAAAGCGGAGTTGGAGAAGCTCCAGGTTTGTGTACAAGACGAGCACCTGCGGTATGCCCAGATAGAAGCCATGCTTCAGAGTTTGCAGACTATTCAGTTTCAGTCTCGAGAAGAGCATAAAGCTCTTGCACAAGAACTCAAAACTAGCCTTCAGATGTTGAAAGACTTGGAGGTACGCAAGCATGATTTGGAACATGAACTTGAGCAAGTTAAGGATGAAAACTGTAGCTTAAGTGAACAGAAATTGTCCTCAGACATTTCAATCGAGAATCTGCAAAATGAAATCCTTTGCTTGAGAAAGATGAAGGAGAAACTTGAAGAGAATGTTGCACAACAAATTGGTCAAAGCAATAACCTTCAGAAAGAAATATCATCTCTGAAAGAGGAAATTAAGGGTCTGAACAATCGATATGAAGCCTTAGTGAACCAATTGCAGGCAGTGGGTTTAGATCCATCTTGCATTGGGTCTTCAGTAAGGAACTTGCAGGATGAAAACTCAAGCCTGAGACAAATCTGTGAAATGGAGCGCAATGAGAAAGGTGCTCTTTCCAAGAAGTTGGAGAACATGGAGGAACTTACAAAGAAGAAAGATTTTTTTGAGTGCTCCTTGTCAGAGCTAAATGGAGAGCTTGAAACATCACGTGAAAAAGTCAGGGAAGTGCAAGAGACTTGTCAATTTCTCCTTGGAGAAAAATCCATTCTTATTTCTGAAAAGGCTGTTCTTCTATCTCAATTGCAAGGCTTGACTGAGAATATGCAGAAGATCCTGGAGAAAAATGCTGTTCTCGAGAACTCTCTGTCTGGTGCAAAAATTGAGCTTGAAGGCTTGAGAGAAAAGTCAAAGGGCTTGGAAGAGATCTGCCAATTACTCAAGGATGAAAAGTCCCATCTTCTGAATGAAAGAGGTACCCTTGTTCTTCAGTTGGCAAATGTTGAACGCCGACTAGAGTACCTGGAGAAAAGATTCTCAGGATTGGAAGAGAAGTGTGCTTATCTGGAGAAGGAGAAAGAATCCATGCACTCTGAAGTGGAAGAACTAAGGATCTCTCTAGGTGTTGAGAAGCATGAAAGAACAAGCTCTACACTTCAAAGTGAGACTCGGTTAGTTAGCCTGGAACACCACATTCATTTGTTGCAAGAAGAAAGTAGGTGGAGGAAGAAAGATTTTGAAGATGAAATTGATAAAGCAGTAAAAGCCCAATTTGAGATTTTCGTCTTGCAAAAATTTGTACAGGATATGGAGCAGAAAAATTACTCTCTATTGATAGAGTGTCAGAAACATGTTGAAGCATCCAAATTGGCTGAGAAGCTGATTTCAGAACTGGAGAGTGAAAATCTTGAGCAACAGGTGGAAGCAGAACTTTTGCTTGATGAAATTGAAAAACTAAGGTTAGGGATATATCGTGTGTTCAAGGCACTTGGAGCTAGTTCAGATACTCTCTTTGAAGACAAGGTTGAAAATGAGCAAGTCTTTGTACATCACATCTTAGGAAATATTGAGGATATGAAGCAATCTCTCTTGCAGTCCAACAATAGCGAGCTGTCGCTATTGGTTGAAAACTCTGTTCTTCTCACTCTACTAAGGCAGCTGAATGCAGAAGGCACAGAAATTGAGTCAAAGAAGGAATTCTTAGAGCAGGAGCTGGCTGCAACCAAAGATAAGCTTCTTATCACTCAAAATGAGAAGCATGGACTTCTTGAGATGAACAGGCTGTTTAAATCAGAGGTAAGTGAACAAAACAAACAAGTTATGTTACTTGAGGAGGAATTGGAGAATCTTGGTGTTAAGCAAAGTGAAATGGTGAATGCCTACATGAATTTACAGGAGAGATTCTCTGTTGTGCTTGAAGAAAACAGATATCTGTCAAGAAAATTTTCAGAACTTAAGATGGAGAAATGCGTGTTGGAGCAGGAAAGTGATGTTCTTCTTCAGGAATCATTGGCTTTTTCAAACTTTTCTATAGTTTTGGAAAGCTATGGAATTGAGAAATCTTTAGAATTAAAATTACTGTCAGAAGATGCGGAAAATCTCAGTGGGGTTATGGATGGCCTTAATAAGGAGGTCAGGCTATTGCGAGGGAAGTTGGAGTTGGAAGAAACAAATAATATGTTGCTGAGAGATTCAGTTCAGAGGTTGGAGATGGAACTGCATACAGTGAGACAGTCAAATGATGAGTTGAAGCAGGAAATTGTAAGTGTTAAGGAAGTCTTGAGTCAGAAAGAAGCTGATATTTTGGAAGCAGAACAGAAGCTTCAAGCAGCGGAAAGCCTAAATTTGGAATTGTGCAAAACCGTGGACACACTGAAGACTGAGAGTCAAGAATCATCTTACATCAAAGAAAATCTGGAAAAGAACCTGCTTAAATTATCTGAAGACAACAGCATGCAGGGCAAGGAAATTGAAGGCCTCCGTGAAGTGAATGAGAACTTGACATCTGAACTGTGTAAACTGCATGAAAAATGCGAAGAGCAAAGGCTCAGAGAAGAGAAGTTGAGCTCAGAGCTGAAAGTTAAAAATGACGAGTATGAACTTTGGGAGGCTGAGGCTGCAGCATTTTACTTTGACCTTCAAATCTCATCCATTAGGGGAGCTCTATATGAGAACAAAGTGCAGGAGCTTGCTGAGGTTTGTGAAAGTCTCGAGGATCATTCTACTTCAAAAACTCTAGAAATTGAAGAAATGAAGGAAAATATCAGGTCCATGGAGAATGCAATAGGCGAACTAACTGCACAGTTGTCAGCATATGACCCTGTCATAGCTTCTCTGAGAGATGATGTGGCATCTCTGGAATATAATGTTTTGCATCAGACAAAGCTCGCTAAAGCTGATCATTTGGAACCAAAGGTACTGACACTGAACGCTTTCCTGCTGTTATTTGTTTAGGGCAAGGTGGGAGGAAGGGATTCTGAAAAGGTATATGCTTCTTGTTAGGAAAATTAATTTGGGAGCCTACCACTACAATGTGGCTGCTTCAGGTGGAAATTTCAGTAAACGTAAATGAAATGCTTTTGATTTTCTTAGCAATGACAGGGGAACTATGGGTTTGTTGGAAGTGTCTTTGACTGCAAATTTTTTTTTTTGGTTTGGAAAGGAGTTTTTGGGGTGGGGGGTGTGGAGACGAAGCTTTTTTGACCTAGGAAGTTGGAACTCTAATGGTACATGTTCTGCAACGGATTTTTCTGTTTCCCTCAAGAATCTTGTAACTTCCTTTGAGTAATATTTATATTATACTTTTGCTGAAACATAATCTTTTAATTACATTCACTTTTTTGCAGTGTACCAGATTGGGAGTACTTCCTGATGAAAGTTTCCATGATAAACCAATGGACCATCAATCACCCATGCCAGTTGGCATTCAAGATTTACAGAAGCTGCAGTGTAGGATTAAGGCAGTTGAGAAGGTAATGGTAGAAGAGATGGAGAACCTTATTTTACAGGAAAGCTTAAACACACAGGCGAAGCAAGAAAGAGTTATGAATGAGACAAATGACTTGAAACCTCGACTCAGCTTCGGTCAGGAAAAAGTCAAGAAGAAGGAAAAGAAGAAGGTGCCTGGGAGGAATCTCAAGTTGCAGGAAGATAAGGGGGAGGGCATTGAAATCAAGAAGGGAGCTTTAATGAAAGATATTCCGCTGGATCATGTCTCAAGTACTTCACTTCATGGATTCCGCAGGAAAGGAAATGTTTGCACAGAGAGAACAGACGATAAGGTTCTTGAGCTGTGGGAAACTGCTGAGTGGCACATTCCGGATCGCACTGGAAGTGTATCCCAAAATTTGGCCTTTGCAGCAAGTGAGGGGGACATAGTATATGATCAGTTTGAAAGTACAAGGCAGATGGCAGGATGCCCGTCTACTGGTTCTGAAGTGGAGAAGGAGTTGGGTGTTGATAAACTCGAGTTGTTAACAAACATTACCATTTCAAATGAAGACGTCCACAACAGGATGATCCTTGAGAGACTTGCTTCTGATGCACAGAAGTTGACAAGTCTTCATCTGACGGTGCAGAACTTGAGGAGGAAATTGGACACAAACAAAAAGAGCCAAAAGATTAAAGATGTTGATCTGGAAACAGTCAAGGAACAGTTGCAAGAAGTCCAGGAGACGGTCATTCAGCTGGTGGATTTAAATGGCCAATTGATGAGAAATATTGAAGAGAATCCTTCTTGTTCAGGTGGAAAGTCTTCAGCAGAGTTGAAAGAGGATGAAGATGCCAGGAGAAAGGTGGTCTCCGAGCAGGCACGCAAAGGGTCTGAAAAGATTGGAAGGTTGCAATTGGAAGTGCAGAAACTCCAGTACGTCTTGCTTAAACTGGAGGATGAAAAGAAAATCAGAGGGAAAAGCCGATTTTCCAAGAGCAAAACAACCATTATTCTCAGGGACTTCATATACAGCGGGAGGAAGAACAGTGGACAGCGAAAGAAGTCTCCCCTTTGCGGATGTTTTAAGCCTTCAACCCCTTGTACTCCTAGATGTAATTCGATCCGCCGCATGTAATGCTAATAACTGTTTTGCCTTTTTCCTTTATCAGTCTCTGCAATGGTCCTTAAATTATGTGACTGGACTATTTCTAGAAGCAGTTTTAGAAAACTGATCTGATCTGCTTAGAATAGAGGAACTGCAGAATTAGATTTGATCTAATTCAAATAATGCTGGCAGATAACAGCCCTCTACTCTATCTATTATCTGTATCTATTAGTGCTATGTAATTCATCAGAAAATTTGCTGAGATTCACTGTATGCCTCTCCATGCATGATGCACATTTGGTCAACTTCGCCGCATGAATGATCTCCTTAATTCCTGAAATCATGGAGAATCAGACGGCCTTGTACCAAAGATATACTACAGCGTGTTAGGAGCACAGAGAGGATTATCTGTACCATTTCTGGTCCTGAGAGCAAGGTCCTTCTGATCAGCATGCATTCCAAGAACCGAGTCGTAAATCGTGGCAATTATTTTTCTTTGTTCAGTTCGGATACTTTAATTTATCCTTTGCACCCGTCTTCTCTAAATTGTATTCTAAAGCTTTCATCGAACGTCTCATCATCGCTTTTTCTGGGATGAACAATTATGTAGGCTAAAAAAATCACTGCGGAAGCATATTTTCTGTTTGGATCCACTAATTTTTCAAAAACTAATTTTTTAAATATTATAAATTTTTTTTAAAAGTACTCTAAAAGGTAGTCTAAATTTTTTTTAATATTTAAAAAATATCCCAAAATATATTTTAAAAACTCTACTACTCTTAAATATTCCAAAATATTTTCTAAAAATATGCTCTTAAATACTTTTCATTAGTCTGTATCAATTTTTTTCTCACTCTTATATATACATATATGAAAGTAGAGATGCAAACTAATAACAAAGAAACTCGTGCATTAAGACGTGTGAACTGACTTGGATGACAACATATAAGCTTTGCACCACTTGAGACACAACCTGCAACACATTAACCCTGTAATAGATTCATGGTCGCCACAATTTTGAAACACTTCTGAGTTTTAAGCAAATTTAATAGCCAAACGATTGAGTACTGATCGCCAATGACTGTTAACTAACTAATTGAACAAACTAGTCTGGTTTAGACTTTAATTAGAACATCTTAGCAACTTTGTTGCACATGCCAAATCACAAGCTGAATGGTGTATTGTCATCTTGGAGACATGCATATTAATTGATGATGCAGCTAAAAGCAACCGTAACCATCTGATTAAGTATTCTTTTCACCGTAACCATCTGCAATTAAGTATTCTTTTGTTGATACGATAAATTCCTACACTAGAAGGAGGGGAGGACCTGAAGAGGTCCAAGGATAATCCGGAAGAGACTGAACTACCACCGAATCAGACGGGTGCGTAGTGCAACCGTTTGAATTTTTTAAGTAGAGCCGCTTTTTAGTTTTTAATGTGGCGAATTGGTGGAAGGCAAGGTTCAAACTTTAATGCATTGGTGGTAGCCACCAACCCAAAGACTGGTGGTTGGGATTTAATTTAATCGGTTTCACTAGCAATAACGCAAATATTCAAACTATTTTTTTTTTAAATTAGCAAACGTTCTAAGGATCTTTCTTTGATTTACTTATTATTTATAAATTTTGTTGGGTATGATTTTGACTAAATCTACAAATAAATGCATAATCAATACTCTATTCTAATTTCTAAAGTACGTTCGTGATTATTTGATGATAATTTGGCATCATTGTACTATCAGAGTCCGCGACAATAATCCACGATTTACATTCATTTCTTTGAAATTTCATTAAAAATAAGAAATGATTTCGTTACAACTTACGAGCCTAGGGAAACGAAGTCCCCTAAAATCATCATCCAACTAGGTAGGCTAATTCCTTAAAATATACGTATAAAAATAAATTATCCGTCAAATGCACGTCTGACTGAGGGGCTTTCTTATTCTATACGGGCCGTGCTGACTCAGCACGGCCGAATCACAAAAAAATCTACCCGATCAACATCCAATTTGGGCTGAGCATTTGTGTCAGCGGACGTGCCCAGCACGTCCACTGACACAAAGGTCTCTCGGACAACATTTAAAAAAAAAAAAAGTTTTAGGCTTTAGGATTTTTAGAGTTAGGGTACTTTAATTTTCAAATTAACCTGATTAAACTAAATTTTAACCATAATCTTAAATATACTTCATTTCATTAATATTTAAAATAAATACATTAACCTAACCTCATGATTCATGTCCCTAGATGCCTTTTCCACATGTATTATTATTAAATCATTATTAAATGCATAATAGTTGTTAATTAACGAACGATTCATGTATTCTAATAAACAGGAATTAATTATTATAATCACTTTGTGATTGTGATTGGCATACATAATAATACAATCAATTCGGATAATTATTTTTTCGAGACAACATTTTTGCATCTATATTTTTACTATATTTTAACTATATTTTGGATAATTATTTTAACTATATTTTTACCTTGCACGCAGCATATATGATATCTTACAAAAGTCCTACTACGTACATGAATTATTCATCTACATCAATATCAATCCAAAAATTTTTTTATTAATATTTACAGATTACTTCATTTTTTTATACAATCCAAAAATTTCTTATGTTTAGTTAATTAATATATTTTATGCATGTAAAAAGCAATAATTTTAATTAGATATTTCCAGTATTTCTATATGAATTATATTACATAGTAATTCGCCAAAAATTATACGATTAAACAATAAGTCGTAGTCGACAACACTATATCACTATATACACTAGTTAACTCTTTTTTAACACTTCAATATTGTAAAATTATAAATAAATTATCACACTTTACATTAACTATTAATTAATAAACTATAACAAAATTATCCGTATTGGCTAATTCCTTAAAATATACGTATAAAAAAATTAGCCAATACGGCTTATTGTATAGTTAAAATATAGTTAAAAATGTATTTTTTTTAACGTATATTTTAAGGAATTAGCCAATACGGATAATTTTGTTATAGTTTATTAATTAATAGTTAATGTAAAGTGTGATAATTTATTTATAATTTTACAATATTGAAGTGTTAAAAAAGAGTTAACTAGTGTATATAGTGATATAGTGTTGTCGACTATGACTTATTGTTTAATCGTATAATTTTTGGCGAATTACTATGTAATATAATTCATATAGAAATACTAGAAATATCTAATTAAAATTATTGCTTTTTACATGCATAAAATATATTAATTAACTAAACATAAGAAATTTTTGGATTGCATAAAAAAATGAAGTAATCTGCAAATATTAATAAAAAAATTTTTGGATTGATATTGATGTAGATGAATAATTCATGTACGTAGTAGGACTTTTGTAAGATATCATATATGCTGCGTGCAAGGTAAAAATATAGTTAAAATAATTATCCAAAATATAGTAAAAATATAGATGCAAAAATGTTGTCTCGAAAAAATAATTATCCGAATTGATTGTATTATTATGTATGCCAATCACAATCACAAAGTGATTATAATAATTAATTCCTGTTCATTAGAATACATGAATCGTTCGTTAATTAACAACTATTATGCATTTAATAATGATTTAATAATAATACATGTGGAAAAGGCATCTAGGGACATGAATCATGAGGTTAGGTTAATGTATTTATTTTAAATATTAATGAAATGAAGTATATTTAGGATTATGGTTAAAATTTAGTTTAATCAGGTTAATTTGAAAATTAAAGTACCAAATTAAAGTACCCTAACTCTAAAAATCCTAAAGCCTAAAACTTTTTTTTTTTTTAAATGTTGTCCGAGAGACCTTTGTGTCAGCAGCGAGACGTGCTGACTGGGCACGTCCGCACCTGTTTTGTGTCAGGTGCGGACGTGCCCAGTCAGCACGTCCGCTGACACAAATGCTCAGCCCAAATTGGATGTTGACCGGGTAGATTTTTTTGTGATTCAGCCGTGCTGAGTCAGCACGGCCCGTATAGAATAAGAAAGCCCCTCAGTCAGACGTGCATTTGACGGATAATTTTTTTTTATACGTATAATTTAAGGAATTAGCCAACTAGGTAAGAGGGGTTGGGGGAAGCGAACTAAACAATACAAAAGATTCATTAAGCTCCACGTTAGGCTATTTGTTGTGGTACACGAAACTCATGATTCATTGTCTTGATAGTAGCTCTTTGTACTTCCACTAGAATACTCCGTGGAAATTGATCAAAATACTGCTTACTTTCGGAAGGGGAGTATAATGATACAACGGTAATTATCTAATCTACTCCTATTCTTACTTTATGGGGGAGGGAAAAGCCTTTTCCTACTCTCTTTCCTGAATTTTTTAAAAACAAAAAGTATTATCCGTGTTGCATGTTGCACCAAATGGAATTATGCTTTTTGTATATTGCACTAAGTCGAATTTGAACTCCAACCTAGGAGGAGAGCTTTAATCCGCTCTCCCCAGCACCATCAAGTATTAATGTATGGAAAAATTGGATGGAAACTACTCTTAAATTGGAACTTTCCAAACGCTGCAGGTTTATAGAATTTCTATCTTTTCTCCTAATTGGATTTGGAGATGGACTCTATCCTAGCAGCAACTAGCAAGTACTAATACATAGCAAAATTGGGAACTAACCGTTTCCCAACGCTATTGGTTTACGCGTGACATTCTATGACATTGTACCGCCCCCTATCGATTCCTTCAGACATCTTATACTTGTTAGCAGTACCTTTAACGTTCAGACACTTGAAAAGGTAAAAATACTTCATGAACAAGTGTTGGTCGAATAATTATCGCATCAACCCCGGTACCGAAATTCAGTTCGCATGCTGTTTGTTAGCTTGTACTGCAGGCTGTAGTTTAAGAAAGAAACCCATTCCGTGTCAGGCCCTTCATAAACCCCACTCCCCCGGGGAAATCAGGCCTTGTTTGATGGCTGGTGAGAAAACTTCAACATGATATTGCACGTGAACGACTAATTCGTAATAAACTTGCAGCACCAATCGATTCGATAACATATGAGAGAGAAATTAATTGAAACAAAACTTCATTTAATTAAGGCCAAAACCATCAATGTCCTCACCTAACAAGGCAAAATTGCTTTCCTAATCCTTCATCCAACAACAAAATATGAGGCTGAACAACATATACTTGTCCAAAAAGAACAGAACCAAAATGACCAGTAAAAACAGACACGAGAAGATTTTCAAGCCCCAACAACTTCAGTTGCCTCAGCAACTGGTTCCTCAGCAGGCCTGTC